AGGGCTGGCCCTCACCTCCTCCTTCTGTCCATCTTCCTCTCAAGGCGACAACTTCCTCCTGCACAACCTGATCCTGGACACAGGCATCACGCAGCAGCTGGTGGAGCGGGTCTGGAAGGACCAGGACCTCAACACGTAGGTGGGGGCATGGTGGCCCGGGACGGGCAGCACTGGCTGGGGGCAGAGTGGGATCAGGGGGCTGAGATGGGCCATGGGAACGGGACAGGGGCAAAGCAAAACCCCGCTGATGCCCAGCCCCTCTCCTTGCAGGTACAGCCTCCTGGCTGTCTTCGCAGCCACTGATGGGGGCATCACCCGTGTCTTCCCTAACAAGTGAGTGTCTGAGGGGAGCGCGCATGCCTGGCCCCACGCAGTGACATGTCTGCTCCTGCGGGGCTATCTCCGGTGGGACTGGAGCTGAGTGACAGCTATGGCCGTGGCTGCTCCACTCCAGGGCTGCGGATGACTGGGAAGAGGAACCAGAGCCCTTCAATGCCAGCTTCTACCGGAGGAGCCTAGACAACAAGGGCTACATCTTCAAACCACCCTACCGGGATGGTGGGTGCTGGCTTGGGGTGGCAGGGGGTGGCACAGGCTGCCGCTGGCCCCACATGCCCCTCATGCCACCCCTGCCTTCTGCAGCCGGCTACCGGGGGCTGGACCTGGAGAACAACACCATCGGGATCCTGGTGAGCACTGCCGTGGAGCTCAGCATTGGGGGCAAGATGCTGAAGCCAGCAGGTAGGCACGGGGCTGAGTGTCCCGCCACCAGGCTGGGGGTTCCCCGTCCTCCCCCCACACCGGGGCTCACCCCATCTCCCCGCTGCCCCAGTGGTGGGGGTGAAGCTGGACTTGGAGGCCTGGGCTGAGAAGTTCAAAGTGCTGGCGAGCAACCGGACAGACCGCGACCAGCTGGGCGCCCGCCGGGTATGTCCCCTGGGCCAGGGAGGGGACTGCCACAGGGATGGGGCGCTGCTCGGGGGGGACATGGCGCCTGTCACCCCGCAGGGCTTGTACCCCCAGCACAGCCCTGCCCATCACCCTGCGTGGGGCACCCATCCCCATCCCCTGGGGACACTGCCGCACATGTCTCCTCCCACGAGGACAGCACTGGGGGGGGCGGAAGATGGTCCTGCTAACCTGTCCCTCTGCCCCGCTTTCGGTTGACAGTGTGACCCCTCGACGAGCTGTGAGATGGACTGTGAGGCCAACAACAAGGTGGGTGGTGGGCAGGGGTGGGGGCAGCGAGGGACAACAGGCAGGGGGAGCAGGGGATGGCTGGGAGGGCTTCCCGTCCCCTGCCCGCCCTGCCCCTGCTGTCTGGGCAAGTGTGCCCACCCTGTCCCCCTGCCGCTCTCGGAGCTTGGCCAGTCCCCAACGCCCCTCACAGGGACGAAGCCCTGGGGGTTGCCCCCTGGACCGTGGACCCCCCCTCGAGGGGGCTGTTAAACCCCCCAGGATGGGTGATGGTTCCCGCTCTCTGCACCCCGCACCGGTTCTCCCGGCACTGAGATGCTCCTGAGCAGACCCCAGGCTTGGGGACACTGCGCTGGCCCCCCTGCCTGACTGCCTGTCACCCCCCTGCCCTGCCTGTCCTGCCTTGCCCTGGGCACAGCCATGGGTGGGTGACATTGCCCTCCTTCCCCAGGACCTCATCTGCGTCCTCATCGACGACGGGGGCTTCCTGGTGCTCTCCAACCAGGAGGACCACTGGTACCAGGTGAGTGGTGCCCATGTGGCAGCTCTCCTGGGCGTAGGATGCTGGCGGGGAGCTGAGACCTCTGAGCTCATGTCACGGGTGGCGTGACACAGCCCCACTCAAGTCCCCACCAGGGGAGACCATGGCAAGGTGGCATTTGGGTGCAGACTCGGTGTCCCCATCCCAGGTGGGCAAGTTCTTCAGTGAAGTGGACGCCAACCTGATGTCCGCCCTCTACAACAACTCCTTCTACGCCCGCAAGGAGTCCTATGACTTTCAGTCCGTCTGCGCCCCTGAAGCCCAGAGCAACACAGGCGCTGCGCCCCGCAGCGTCTTTGTGGTGAGTGCTCACGGGGACCATGGCCGTCAGGCAGTCTGGGAGCTTGGGGACGCGCAGGGGTGTCCCCAGTGCCCTGCATGGGGACCCGCTGGCTCACCGCCCCTATCTTTGCCCACAGCCCACTGTGGCCGATCTCCTGAACCTCGCCTGGTGGACCTCAGCCGCAGCCTGGTGAGTCCCACTGCATCCCCTCCCCGGGGGCTGTTTCCATCGGGGGGTGACATCGGCGCGTCCCTGGGGCTGGGACAGCAACACGGCCGCACTTCCCTTTCCCAGGTCCCTCTTCCAGCAGTTCCTGTACGGCCTCACCTACAGCAGCTGGTTCCAGACGGGTGAGTCCCCGGGGACGCCCGGGGCTGGGGGGGCGGGCAGGGGACGTGGCAGGGGCGTGTGGCAGGGGGTCCGTGGCCCTTGGCCCACGGCGCTGTGCCGGCGCAGAGGAGGTGGCGGGGGACAGCATGGAGGCCAGGGAGACAAGCTGCATCATGAAGCAGACGCAGTACTACTTCAGCACTGTCAACGCCACCTACAACGCCATCATTGACTGCGGCAACTGCTCCAGGTGGGTCCATCCCTGCCATCCTACCGCCTGGGCAGGGTTGGGGACACCCCCCCTAAGCTGCCTTTGCCAGGACCCCTGTGCAGCCACCTGCATGGGGGTGATGGGAGATGCTGTGCAGCGCTTGGGGGGCTGTGGTACCCGGACGGGGGGACAGAGAGCAACAGTAGCGTCCCCATGGGCTGTGGGGTGATGATGATGTCCCCAGGGCTCCTCCAAGTGGGACCGAGCCCTGAAAGCCCATCGGTGCTGGTTCCCTAGGCAGCCCCTCAGCATGGGGATGGTGGGTGGGGTGGGGATGGGGACGGGGATGGGGATGACGATGGGGACAGGGATCAGGGCGGGGATGAGGCTGGGGACAGGGATAGGGACGAAGACGGGGATGAGGTTGGGGATGGGGACGCTCTGCTGGCTCAGCATCCCCAGAGCCGCCTGCTAGCAGAGCTGGCACCAGTGGTCGGGGGGGTGGGATCGAGGCACAGGGTAACCAAGGTCTGCACTGCCGTCGCACCCCCAGGCTCTTCCATGCGCAGAGGCTGGCCAACACCAACCTGCTCTTCGTGGTGGCCGACAAGCCCCTCTGCAGCCAGTGCGAGTCCATCAAGCTGCTGCAGGCAGAGGTAAGAGGTATCCTTTGGTGGCCTGGCTGAATCCTACTGGGATGTGGTGGCAGGGGGGTGGGGGGACAGGCAGGGTCTGTGGGTCAGGGCAGCGGGGCTGGGAGCTGCAGGGTCCAGTGGGGTAGAGGGAGCGTGCCCGTGGCCAGAGGGGCTGGGGGTGGCCATGGGGTGCCCCAAGGGGCCCGGCCGCCCTGTCCCTGGTGGTTTCCTTGACCTGCAAAGCCCCCCCGAGGGACCCCAACCAGTGTGAGCTGGTGGACAGGCCCCGCTACCGGAAAGGCCCCCACATCTGCTTCGACTACAATGCAACAGTATGTGGGGCGCAGGGGGGAGTGGAGCTGGGGGGGAGCCCTGGGGGGAATTGGGGCAGTGGGTTCCCCCTGAGGGGGGCAGTGGAGCCATGGGGGGCCCCCAGGGGAGCAGAGCTGAGGGG